TCTCCAAATAGTACAATGGCTCCACCACCGACACGCATACCACCTCAGACCCTGTTAACAAGAACACAAGGCCCAAGCAAGTACCCAGGCAACTTGGCACACACACACACACACACACCACACACACACCACACACACACACACACACACACACACACACACACACACACGTGCTGGCCTGGGAGCATTAGGGAAGCATACAAAAGAGAGCCGAAGCGCACAGGATCCAGTGGGCATGAATCTTCAAGCTACCGAAGAATTCTTGAATAAGAGGAAGCACAAGGTGCAGACAGACAGTCCAGCCCTTGGATAAGCAAATCTGACCACAAGGGGGACTATAGGTGCACGGGAGGGAAGTAGAGGTAAGACGAAGGAAGTGATCTCTCTGCTTCATACAAAAACAGAACAGTCAATGTCAGGCTGTGTACTAATCGGTTACCACGGTTTATGTGAACGGGACGCTGGATGCAATCACAACAGGATGACCCTACTCTATCAGGCTGCTCATTCCACCTCCTAAAGCAGTACCCGCCCCTCCCAGATGATTCTGTTAAGAAAAAGAAAAAGAGGACGGGAAGAGGGGGAGGGGGGGGGGAGGGGCACAGACAGTGGAAAGAGCACCCAGAACGTAGGGAATCAAGAACAAGACGAAGACGACAGGAACAGGTTCGTATAAGGGCGACACCAAGGGAAGAAGGACAGCAGCAGGAGCTGAAGCACCCAGGAGTCGCTGAGTCAGTGTGGACTAAGTCAGCAAGAACACGAGGAGATGGAGAGTGCAAGAGAGAGGGAGGAAAGTGGATAGCAGAGGGAGTCTAGAGCAGCCAGACGATTGCTTCTTAAAGAACCGGAGGAAAAGGAAGGTACGCAGAGGGAGACAGAAGAGTGAAGAATATGGAGAGCACAAGGAGCTGCTACCTTCCTCTTTAAGGCTCTCATTCGGAGATGCTCTCTCCTGCGTGGTGGTTGATTGCATCTTGCGGTGATGGTGAATTTGATCGAACGATCAATCTGACAGGTAAAACCGCTTTTCCCGTGGTCGCTAAGATCCTGAATTACCCTGACGACTTCAGCAGCACAAGTCAGATCTGTCCTGAGTCCGCTCTGTTCTGCACTGTGCCTGTCTCTTATACACATCTAGATGTGTATAAGAGACAGGTCTAGAGTAGTGCAGGGAGGCCTTTCAAGTGGTG